TCATTGCTCCTCAGATAATGGTGCCAACATTGTGAAATAAGAATACACCTACTGACATCAAAAGAAAAGACCTCAATCCCATAAATGATATCTAACCATACCTTGAATGACAATATAACACCAGGTTCCAGTACAGCTCCTGTCTTAAGAACCACCCCATCACAAACAACAGCGTGCCTTAATTTGCATTTATCTTGAATTGTAACACTGTCCCATATATAGCAATTTTCTATTGAAACATTGCATCCAATCGTGCATCCTCGACCAATAACTGAATTCCAAATCATGGAGTTGTCACCAATAACAGTACCCTCTCCTACCAAGGACAATGGGCCGATATGTGCTGATCGTGATTGTATGACATCTGAGAAATAAATAAGTACAAGCTAATGAAACGGTGAACAATAAATCCAAAAGTAATCCAGTGCTAGCATCACAACATGGGCTACTTCAGTACAATATAATAGAAAACTGCTTAAGAAATTTCACATCCCGTCAGAAGACAAACTGAACCTCTGACTTTTCATTCTTTCTATTTATGTTTTTTTCTTTTTAATGACTCATTACCATTCTCACTCTACACAGAAGGAATCCATAACAAACAAAATCTAGTATTAACTGCTTAGAATTAGATTCTTTTCTGCAATTTAACACAAGAACTGTAGAACTTATTACTTTGGCTCAATGAATCAGATAATTTCTTAAATACAGAAATAACTTTTCTTCAAAAAAATAAAAAATAAAAAATAAAAACTAGAAGATCTGCAAAACTATGTTGGCATGAAAATCCAAGGGCCACCACCATTCAACACAAACATGTATGCTAAAGATACAAAAATTTCTCATAATTATGAAAAAGCAATATTTTCAATTTTATTCTATGGCTAATGCTTCAAGTCCACTAACTGAATACATCAACCAGAAAACAAAATCGGGATCCCATGTACAGCATTATTGGTAACTTATCACAGCAACCAGTGAAAGAAAGCATCTAGTCACCCTAACTAGCAACACCAAAATCCAACTTTAGAAACCTAAGATATCCCACTTTTTTGTCGACAGTCACTCCGTCGCCATTTAATAAGTAGCTCCAAACTATTTTGTGATGAGTACATACACAAACTCAATTTTGCACTTCCTTCACCTTATAAAACTGCCACCCAAACAAGAGTGGCTTCAAATTTTTCTTCTTTTTTTTTTTCAAAGATACACAAAATGGCTCCCGAAAGCCAATAAAAAATCATCTATGACCAAATGAATCCTCCAAAACCATCCCACTAATCAGACCCTAATGCAAATTTGAAAAACGTAGAAGAAATCAAAGAAATATTGACTTAAAATTAATGGAGACTAAGCTTCAGTACTTGCAAATTCATTAGAATTCCTAGGAATAACAATTATTAGCTTTGAATGGAACACCCTAACTCAACCCTATTTATAGACCTTATTGGACCCCCTAACCCAAATCTAATATAGTCCGAACTCCTAACTAAAATAGAACCCAAATTTGATATTTTTTCCCTTGAAAAAATAGAATGGCAAACTCATCTTGAAAACTACGATAAAATGTTCCCTCAGATTTACGTCGGCATAACTTTCCCTTGTGATGTTGAAATCACTATTAAGACCACATTTCAAAAATGACAATGAAAGCGCCGTGTGGATTGTGAGATATGAGCTTGACAAGTTTGCCCCATTTTTGGAAGAAGGTATCAGTTTTCTACTACTTTTGGAAACCCGTTTAGCTTGCTTTTTTTACCCATTTTGGGAAAGTAGGACCACGAAAGGTCCGTTTGGAGTGAAACTTGGTAGTCATGGGTTTTTCGGCCTTCTAAAGCTGCTTGTGGTGATCCAGAGCAGTGTTGTTATATTCGCTTCGCTTCGAGCGAAGCACCCGAAATCTTCGGGTTTTACCTAACAACCGAAGCAAAGCTAACAGCTACTATATTTTCGCACTACATTTCGCCATTCAAAATGCTATTCAGCTCCTATATTTTTGCACTAGTATGCTACATTTCCCCATTCAAAATGCTATTCAAAACGAAATTGCAGCGTAACAACTCTCTTTGCAAAGAGAGAGAAAACTAAGCCCCAAATCCAACAAATTTGAGGGGCGTGTTACATACTTCACTACCCACGTGGCCCCATCCCACATCATCAATACCACCTTGCCCATCTCTTTTGTTTTTATAAAATCCCACGACTATCCTTAACTTTTATTAAAATAAAATTAGCCTCTTCATTATATGAAAGGGTGTTTATGTCCTCATGAATGTCTTTTTTCTTTTTATTTTTATTTCTTATTATTTTAATATATTTTATATATAAACTTATACTTTATTTATATTGATTTAAAAAAAAAAAACCCCAAGTCTTCTCCCGAATTGGCCGTAATATATTTTTATATAAAAATCTATACTTTATTTATATTGAATTTTTACAAAAAAAAAATTGAAGTCGTCCCCCGAATTGGCCGAAGCACCAAATTGCTTCATTTTTCTGATCAAACAGAAGAAAGCTCCGAAGCAAATCTAACAACATTGGTCTGGAGACCATCTGAGATTATCTTCATGGAGTTTACTATGGTTACACCGTACACGCATAGAGCACAATACTCAATAGAACTTTCTTCCTATCTCTTCGCACCTTGGCCTGATTGGGGCGAAACTTGAGGAATGACTTTGGGATAGCGCAAAGGCCACTCTTGTGCACCTTTTGGGGCCAAGATGATGCCTTTGCAGAGATTCATCAAAATCTGGGCTTATTCCGCGAAGGCTTCCGTAGTCCTTAAGGCATATTTGGCACCAACAAGCCAGGGTTTCAACCGCATCCTCTTTTATTCACATGCACAGAAAGTGCGTCAAAAATATGGACCAACAGTCACTCTTTCCCTTGCCTCGATGCCCCTCCTCTCTCTCTCTCTCCTCTTCTCTCTTCTCTTCATAACTCTCTCTAGCCAATAAAGCCTAAGGGGTGCCATGCCCCAACTAGATTCTAAGGGGGTGGCATGCCCTAGCCTTAGTTTGGTGAGAAAAGAAAAGGTTGGTTGTATTGTGTCACACCCCAAGAATTTACAATACTGTTATTCCTGAGATGTGTCAGACAAAACATATATACATCTATTGATAGGACAAATTTACAATAGAGAGGTCTTACAAAGTAAATAAAGAAAGCTAGCACAACAACAGTATCTTCCAAGGTTGATCTTGACTAGCACTCAAAATGAATCCGCAGTTATCCTGAAAAATGTTTACCATAGTTTGATGAGTTTGGCTACTCAGTAAGTGATCATCATAATCCTAAAAATAATCATGATTGAAAGATATCAATATTTTCCAAAATGAGATCTATTAACAGAAATGCATCAACAGTTTCACTTTCAATAAATGCATAATTAAGTGTAATCCGAGTAATTGAAATGCTTATAAAACTTTTAACGGCAGTACATAATTCAAATGATTTCACAAAATACCCTACTGGCGTCCCAAGTAGGTCACCTATATACCCCATCAGTGTCCTGATGGGTCCACTTAATCCCTATCGGCGTCCCAGATAGGTCCACGTAATCCCTGCAGGTCCACTTATACCTCACCGGGTACCGGATGAGTCCACTTAATCCCTACCGGCGTCCCAGATAGGTCCACTTATACCTCACCGGCGAACCGGATGAGTCCACTTGCATACTTAAATTATTTCTAAATCTCTTTAAACATTCGAAAGCAGCAATATCATGTACTCAACATATCACTGAAACCATTAATAACACTCACTCTCTATAACATTTCAAAAATAACCAATCAAATATTTTGGGCTCAAATTTAGAAAGGTAGCAGTTTGTAAAGGCATTCTAGCATGATTGCCAATTTAATATGTATAGAAAAACTCTTATAAAAATTCAAGAATACGGAATTATCACAATTTATGGGATATCAATCCACAAATAAACATTTCACAACAATACTATAATCAATTACAAAAATGTCAATTTTTAAATAATAAGGCAGTCATTTGCACATGAATTTTTCAATATCTAAATATTCAAAACAGTAGAAAGAAATATCACAATTTTACTAAAAGCAGAAATATCACATTTATTTCTAACCATAGACAAGAAAAATAAATAAATTTATTTTTCTAATTTCTAACATGGATAAAATATCACAATTTTTATTAAAAAGATTATTTTTCAAGATAATGAGGTCACGTGCGCATAAAATTTATCGCGTCTAAAATTCATGATAATAAGCAGAAATAATTATTTCATTTCATTTTTAAAAAGAATGGATTATTTTTCGAGACAATGAGGTCACTTACACATAAAACTGATAAAATAAAGATCCTAGACGGAAATATCACTATTTATTAAAAATAGACTATTTTTCAGGAAGACGATGTCACTTACCCACAAATATTTGAGAGGGAACTTCGATAAAATTCGGCTAGAGAGAGAGAGAGATCTCAAAATTTTCTAGGGTAGGAGTGCTCACCTCCCCTATTTAAATTCTTAGAACGTATTATTATAATATTTTATTACGCTCTACCTCATACCTGAGGTGTCGCGTTAAGCGTCTGCTTTTAACATACGAAAACCACGTCCGCTAAAGAACGTTGCGAGCAGCAGGCAAGCAAGAAGCAAAAGCAACAGGCAAAGGCAAAAGCAAAAGTTTAAACCAAAGTAAAAACTTTTGAAAATAGTGATGGTCCTCAAGGACCATCATACTCAAACAAACCATCACCTATTTAAAAGCATCTTTTCTCCTCTTTTTTTTTTTTTTTTTTGAAATTTTAGGATTGTTACATATTGTCATCACCCCAACTATTTGCCAAGGCTTCCCTTCCAAGAGATTAAGAAGGGACCTAGATCAAGTGCGCGATCAGTGTTGGAGATCTGAAGTGGGGTGTGTCAAGTCCTTGGAGTGATACAAGGCAAGGTAATCAGGTATTTTTCGCTTCCATGTCTCTTGATTCACCCTTATGCGTTGTATCTTGATTTTATTGAATTTTGTTTATGGCATGCAAGTGAGAATCCTAGATTCCATCAAGATTTTGTTTTTATGATTTTTCAAGATGTAAATTTGGTGTATGTAAGTGGACAAGCCGGTACAAATAAAAAAAACTGAGAAGAATTTTTAAATTCATATACTTCACTACATCCACATTGCCACCTTTCAGTTATAGATCTCCATCCACTCCATTCAAGGTTGAAAGTCGCATCACAGCTTGCCTTGAACCTATTCATTTCCTTTTTTCAAAGAAAACATATAGCTTGGCCAACAGCCTCAAATCTCATTGTCTTGGATTGTAACACACATGGTATAAATAGGGAAGGCCTAATTACTCTTGAAGTTTCTCACGTATCCCAGA